CATATATGTTTTGGGTAGAGTTCCTTAACTCTTATATATAAATAAGTTGAGTTCAGTTACAAAACCAAAATGGTCTTTTTCTCCATTTATTGAAAACTATGTTGGTCAGAGTCTATTAGTAGATACACCGTAATTAACACTGTAAGCTGTGAGTGTTAGTTAAGGACTGGGGCTCAGCTTGACTGAGTTAGTCACCCGTCCGATTCTCGTGAAACTCAAGTGAAGACTAGTGCCGTGAGGGGAGGCTCTGAAGGAGAGACTGGACTAACCTACATTCTCAGGTCGGCTTACTGATAGAGGAATTTCACGTGAACAGAACATGGCACCTCACAGCTTATGGAAAATTACCGTAGGGTGATTGGATTATATAAACTAAATGTATTAACCCAAATGTATAATTGTTATTGCCATGAGACAGGGGCTAATACAGACAAAATTAAACAAAACAAAAACAGACGTCAAGAGGAATACATTATAGGAAGGCTATGGATAGAAGAATAAATCGTGGTGAAGTTTACCTCCGAGATTATAAGGCACTAGCAGAATCGCCCCCTCCAGGCGACTCATCCGCTAGGCAACTAGACGCCATCCGAGGCTCCACATTGTCTCACTGTTCAGTCCTCAAAACTTCTTCTTCCATCAATAGTTCATTAACGGTGTATGTAAGTTCCACCATGTTTTTCACTACAACGCACAGCAAAGTATATTTTTTAGCATTAAAATGTTATTATTTTATTGTCTAATAAGCACTACATATAACACCACCCATCATCACTACATATATCATCACTACATATAACACCATCCATCATCTACATATAACAACATCCATCATCACTACATATAACATCATCATCCATCATCACTACAAATAACACCATCCATCACTACATATAACACCATCCATCATCACTACATATAACATCATCACCATATAACACCATCCATCACTACATATAACAACATCCATCATCACTACATATAACATCATCATCCATCACTACATATAACACCATCCATCATCACTACATATAACACCATCCATCATCACTACATAAACATCATCACATATAACACCATCCATCATCACTACATATAACAACATCCATCATAAATATAACATCATCATCCATCATCACTACATATAACACCATCCATCATCACTACATAAAACACCATCCATCATCACTAGATCGGTAAAGTAATTTCTGAGATTCTCGTGTGGACACACATACACACACACACACAGACATACTTTTTGTTTATATATATATATATATATATATATATATGTAACCTGATGGAATTTGCTGGACTTAATTTCTCACTTGACTTGGGTTTATTAAAATTAATAGATGGTAATGGCAGTGGAAGCCCTTTGAGAAAAATCCCAAACCAGCACAAGAACACTTAAATCTACTACACAAAATGAATTAACTGCGACCAGGAAGGATAGCGCCTGTGACTGGGATGAATGAGACACACTGTAAAATTTAGACACTTATATTCCTCCAACACTACAAACACAATCAAATAATGGTACAATCAATATGCAACTCTTAACTTAAACTTAAAACACTACTCTGGGGAATAAAAGTTATAAATGACATAGAAATTATTAGAAACACAGGCAACAATAAATTTGAAGTATTAAGAAATGTTAATTGCACACGAACAGGCCTTAAGGCTTTCACAAAATAATATCAGTCACTTAGAAATGGTACTAAAAAATAAGAAATTAAATACTCCACAAATGAATAGGCCTTATGGTCTTCAACAAAATAATATCAGTCACTGAGGAATGGTATAAAAGATAAGAAATTAAATACTCTACAATGAATAGGCCTTAAGGGCTTTTCAGCAAGATAATATCAGTCACTGAGAAATGGTAATAAAATGTAAGAAATTAAATACCCTACAATGAATAGGCCTTAAGGGCACTCAACAAGATAATATCAGTCACTGAGGAAATGGTAATAAATTTAAGAAATTAAATACTCTACAATGAATAGGCCTTAAGGGCACTCAACAAAATTAGCACCCCAACAGATGTACACTTCTAACCTAACCTACCCACTACTCTGGGGAACAAGGTTATACCTGAGATCAGAATTATGAAGAACAATCAGATGCATTAAAAGAATCAATCACAGTATCACTCTGGTTCCACTTAATGGCACAAACATTCAAAACAATATTATCAAAATTATTTAAGAAATATTAACTACACGTCAAGATAATATCAGTCTGAGGGTGGTGTTAACTACACCCGTAATAATGAAGATAAAATGTTTCTAGGTATCTCCTAGAGTCCTAGACTCGGTCTCAGTGTGTGACCATTAATATACTCAGGTAGCCTCAGTGTACTCCCAGTGCGTCCATGGGCAGGAAGAGAGTGAGCCAATCAGACCTTGGCAGTTGAGAGAAACCTTAGCTTCCCGTTAGCAAGAGGTTTCACTAGCTGACCGAGGACCGTGTGTGCACGGAGTGGTAGAACTGATCACCCACTGCCGATGCTGGTCCCGTGTCGTTTTGGTTGTCCGGGAGCACTCGTTCACTCAAAGAGATCCTTTGCTACCCCGCTAAACAGTGACAGGCCTACAGATCGGTCCAATGGCGACAATCGCCACTCAATCATCAACGGCAGTCAATCTCTCGCAGTCAACTCCGGTCAACTCAATCAAGTGGGTTCTGACAGAAACCTGAAATGAACTCACTGTAGCTCTAGTTTACTTTATCACTGCCCTATCTAACCCTGTCTGAGATCGAATGAGACTTACTTGTTATACTGCAATAGCAGCACAGGTGACTAGGCCACGTGACTATTTCTGATGGGCCAGCAGGAACGTCTTGTCTGTTGAATGCTCTCCGGACTGGCCTAGCCAGCGTCGCGTCTCCCCAAAGCGTTAGCTTGGCCTACGTGATATTTTACCGCCTAACTAATAACTCCTTGGGACACCGTAACATTATTCAGACTGCTAAACGATCTATAATAATTTCAAATTCAATAATAGTCCCTTAATTCATGAATCGCATCATTATTAATTCGGTAAATCACATTTAATATCATATAGGCCTAGTTCATGATCTCCTTCTCTGACAGGCAGCGCTCCTCCTCAGATGACCTTGAACGCTCAGTATCACTCATGGCGGGGCATTTGAAATTACTCTGAAATTTCTGAATATTATATATATATATATATATTTCATGTAAATCCACAATGAAAACGCGGATAAGATAAATCTTGATAAAATCACACGGAAAATGGAAACACCGAATTACCTTAGCTTTCGTCTTTATTCAAGACATCTTCAGAGGCAACTGGATTACATGGACAGAGAGAGGCTTAAATATACAGGGTGACCTTAAAAACATGAGGTCAGGTCATAATGATGTCATCCACTAATCCACCACACACGTGGGGGCTTAAGAGGGGGTGACGTGATGGTCAGTTCAAACCTGATAATATGTTACATAAATTTATTTGTCAGTGGCCCAAGGTTAAAAATGCTTTAAACCTTTGATCTAGATGTATGATAGTTATTTTGTGCGTCCCTTATTTTTGACCTGACCATTTCAAGACGTCGCTCGAGTGTGGAGTTGAATGGATGCTTCCCTACCCCGAGTGTGGATAACCGTGTTCCAGAACCTTCCCCAAGGCCACTGCCTAGGAAATATCTGTTCATTGTTTGATTCTATCAGTTGTTGACTCCATTAATTGTTTGACTCCTTTAACTGTTGACTGACTTAATTGTTTGACTCGTTGTTATTTGATGTTTGTTGAGTGGTGTCAGAGTTTTGTGTTATATTTTTATAGTAAAGAGATGTCAATCTCAAACGGTTGTTAGTTATTCCTCAGAAAACCACGGTCCTTGACTTTCCTTAATTAAGATCCTGATTAGTCTGGTAGTTTATCCCTAAATCCTAGGCCTTTAAAGTCTGGACTGCTTTTAGTATCCTGGTGGTCCAGCGGTTAGCGTTCCTCAGTCACAGTCCATAGGCTCGTGGGCTGTGGGTTTCGAATCCTGGCGGGTTGAGGTGTTGATTGTATGTAGAAGTCCGCGTGCTTTATTGGGCTAATGAAATATATATGGATCCTCGTGTTTCAAGCCGGATTTGGTAAACGTTACTCTGACCACCTACGTGCATAAGGTGGTCCCATTAGAGTTCACGGCGCCATAAGCTCGTTGAACAGGCTTTGTGTGAAATATAACAAAGTCTAGGACTGCATTTAGTATCCTGGTGGTACAGCGGTTAGCGTTCCCCGGTCGATCATAGGCTTATGGGCCGTCGGTTCGAATCCTGAACCCCTGAAGATGTGAATTACACGAAAGCGCTTGGGAACTTCGTGTTTTTTTCTTTCCTGTGGTTATCAGCATATACCTAGATCCACCTACAGTGATTTGCATATATATATATATATATATATATATATATATATATATATTATATATATATATATATAGCCAGCTACAAAACAAGGAGGTACTATCGCCTGGGAAGATATTGAAGTATAATGTGTGTTGTCTAATGGTAGACCCTATTGCCATAATTATGTCATCACGAAAATGATGACCAAGTCCCAGGTTGCTGATCTGATTTTCTGCCTCATTTACACACAATTGCAGGTTTTTCAATTGTTTCTCTTACTTTCACAACCAACATACATATAACATTGTTCGCTTTTGATCTATTTTTTTTATTTTTTATTTATGGTTTTATTATTATTATTATTATTATTATTATTATTATTTGTGTTATTATTATAATCATAAATATTACAATATATATTTCTTTTATTTTGTATTTATTATAATTTAAATTATTAATATTATTTAATATTATTATTATTATTATTATTATTATTATTATTATTATATTTTTCACCCTCTAGGTCCCGATGTGGGTCAGTGTCCTTTTGCCAGTTGGACTAGTACCCGTAGGAAAAAAAAATGTGTTCAAGCATTTTATTATGAGCCTCAGGTGACAATTCCCCCAGCAACAAAACTGGAGGTCACACTCGGTGGACTGGGACACTTCGGGTCCAAGGTGCTGTACGTGTATATAAAAGAAACCAAGGAGCTGGAGGACCTCAAATATAGTATTGACGAGTGTCTACTGGAAGCGAAAGAATCCATTTGTGGGACAACAGGTTCACTCCACACGTCACGCTCTTCAGGACATCCAGGAGATCAGGAGGCCAGAGACGGTGAATAACGTGGATAAGCTTATCAAGTTGGTGCAGTCTACCAGGTTATCTGAGCTGGGGGCTTTAAGGTGGATGACGTATGCTTTAGAAGCTGAATCCCTACGCAGGATAAGTGAAGTGTCCCCAGATGATCATATTTATTCATTTATAACAGTTTCTTTGGGTTAGAAGACCTTTGATTTCATAAAAGTAAAAATGTTTATCTTTAAAATTTGCTTCTGTGTAGTTCCCCCACCTCAGCAATCGTGGGATTGTAAGTTATATTTTCAAGCAAATATATTCAGAAACAGGGTGCGGCGGTCTAATGGACACAGAAGCTCCTCTGTCCTAAAAGGTCGCAGGTTCGTATGGGTACCCTCAGCTCACCTGGCTGTAATAAGTTTACATTTGGGGAATTGACGTCGTTGGATGCAGTGCCGGCGACTGGCACCTCTTGTACTGTACACTTTCGTTTTTAGTCTGATGGGGAGTATGACAACACCTTTTGCTCAGTTCTGACCATTTCACTCTTTAGCACATTTTGTGAATAAATTCTCAAAGTCTTTGATTAATTCTTCCTCTATTTTATATATGCAGAGACACAGCTGCTCCATCTTCTGGTACTTAATCATTGTTCCCTAAGTTTAATGTAATGAGACACCTCTTGTGTAATACCCACCTCTTATGTAGGCCATGACACCTCTTGTGTAAGGCCACAGACACCTCTGTGTAAAACACACACACCTCTTGTAAAGCACACACACCTCTTATGTGAAGCCACCAGACACCTCTTGTGTAAGGCCACCACACACCTCTTATGTAAGGCCATAAGACACCTCTTGTGTAGGCCACCAGCCATCATCTTGTCAGCCTTTGCTTCTTATGGTTTGATGGTCAAGTTGATACACACAGGAGGCAGTGTGGCATCCGGCACTACTACTGACCATCTTCACTTTCCCAACCATAAAGTCAGGTTCCCCAATCAAAGCTCGTGGACCAGGGTGTCCTAAGATCACTAGCTACCAATAGGACAAAGCAAAGAACCATCATCCACTCTCCAGCATCTCTTATGAGGATCTTTTTTTAAAATACTTCCTTAATCTCTTCATAATAGGCTCTGCTTTTTTATTACGTTTCTAGCTCCTGCTCAACAGATGTGATGTGTCCGTGTGTTTCTCTTGGTACTCTAACATCTAGGTTGCTAGATCAGTATCCATAATGTTGAGAGAAAGAAGCGTAGCACAGTGGATGCTCTAACGACGTAACAAATTGTCACTGTGATGATCATTGGATGAACAGTTAACAATAAATAGAATAATAATGTGATCCTTTTTAGCCATCAAACTGGGCTGCTCAGTCACACTTATACTGATCAAATAAAATTAGTGAAATATAATTGCATATGTGTTTTTATCGCCAGTTGATCTAGAAACTTTATATAAATTAATAAAAAATTTGACACTAATCCATTAATTTCTTAGTTTACGAAAAGGTTTTATCATCATCCTCATTTAACTGATGTCTCAGTAGAAAGTTACAAAATAAAATTGCATTTAGAAAAGAATTATATTTTAATGAATTTATTTACCTATACAGTAATGTAATTACTTCTGGCATCGTATGAATTAGAAAACATGATATCCTAATTAAAATGGTTTTAATTTATAGATGAATCAACATAAAACAATTGATGAAATACACACACACACACACACACACACACACACACATACACACACACACACACACACACACACACACACACACACACACACACACACACACACACACACACACACACACACACATACGCACGCACGCACACACACACACACACGCACACATAATACTAGTTGCTCTTCGTGTAACGAGGATGGCCGGCCCAAGGGCCATCATAACCACAACAACCACACCCTGCGTTAACGAGTTGCATGACCCAGAGTCAAGAATAGTCCGAAAGACTGGACAACTCGCCACCTGCACTAGCTAACCATTACCCCAGAATACGATCCGCAAATCGATTCTCCAGGTTCCCAATTACTGCTGGGTAGACCAGAGGCAAATGGCGTTAAGAAACTTGCCCATAGTTTCACCCTGCGGAATAGAACCCGGATCTGCTCGCTTGCGAGGCGAGCATGCTGACGATACACCACAGGTCGACACACACGCACACACGCTCGCACACACTCAGCACAGGCCCGCGAAAACACACACCCACCGCGCACTACCAAACATACGCACGCCTGCGCTCTAGCACACACGCTCGAGCTCACATGCACGTACACACACATACCCATACGCCCACACACGCGCCCCAGCT